ATCATTTTAACATACATTCGCTCTTAATTCAACCATATGCAAAGCATTCTGGGAACTAACAAGCACCGCCCAGTTTCAGTTAATCCAACAGAAACAGATTAAGTAAACTTAAATGTTACATTTAAGAAGATTGAACACAATCAAATTAAGTTTGGGCAAAATGTATAGCTTAAGTTCAATTTAAATAAGCAATTTGAACAAGCAGCAAACATGGTTTTTTAGTGTAAAATCCTGTCATTATTAGAAGACCTGTTTATGAAGTGTTTCATGCTGTTTGTCTTGTGAAGTAAACTCATACAGGTTTGAAACAACTTGAGGGTGAGTAAATGATGACAGAACTTTCATTTTGGGGCTAAATATCCCTTTAAAAATATCAAAATCTGACAATCCTCAAAGCGCTTTCCTTCGGCAGCTCATTAGGTTTGGAACACAGCCATCAACTTCACAAAATAGCGAAATAATAAACTATACCTACCTGAAATCAGAGGTAGGCCTATCTTGGCCTTTAATTCGTCCTTAATAAGCACGCAGAGAACAGATATCTGGAATTAACAGAGGTGTTGGTACATGCGCGCGTCTTGAATAACATGAAAAGATTGAGAGGATATAGCCTTGGCACTTTATGGACACCTGTTCAATTGTGAGTTAATTCTCTTTGAATTTATGGAAGCAGTGCGTTAAAAGGGATGCCAAAATCCGTTTCACCGTTTGTCATGTCTCCCTCCCCATACTCTAATTAAAGCTTCGGCTGTTGTTGCTCACAGGCTGGCGGTTATTAATTCACAGGTGTCTGCGTCGACTGCGTCTCCACGGCAACGGCTGGGTATCCCATTAATCCACACATTTTATCGATGCTGATTAATCCCGACCGCAAACAATGACTGCGAGCTCACCTCGCCCCATTTCTTGCCGGAAAATGAGAATGAGTTGATTGCAATTTGAGCGCATTCACGTGGAAACAGTGGAGGGTTTGAATACAATATTGGGCTGGATTTTGATTGCATTGACGTTATGATGTGTCAGAACTGGAATGCCCTCGTGAAGCGTAGCTAATATTTCAGTCAAACCTGATTCGGATACGCAACAGTGCATTACACCCTGTAAAAGCAAGTGAAAAGTCCAAGCAACTCTTTAAAGTCATAGTTCACCTTCACCCCAAAATGTAGTCCTACTCTACTCTTTTACTCACCCTCATGTTTTTCCAAACCTGAATGACTGTCCTTCTTCTGTGGAAAACAGATTAATTTTGAAAACATTGTCGATATAATGAAAGTCAGTGGGATTCAATGTTGTTTAAAAGTAGTAATATCATTATTTAGGCTAAAATATATATATATATATATATATATTGTAATGACATGAGGGTGAGTAAATGATGACAGAATATTCATATTCAATATTTTTGTGCAAAGTATTCCTAGGCATTAATAAGTTTAGAAGCACACAACTTAGCCTACTTGCTGAAAAAAAAAAACTAAAACTGAAATAAATGCAACCTAAATTGTAATATTTAAAAAAATATTAACAAAAAAAGCTAGAATGAGCACATGAAATAAAAGCTGCTTATTCACTGTAGTAGTAGGCTATATAAATAATACTAAAAATACTGGCATGAAGCTTTTATTTTGCCGTTTGCCATTAAATGTCAAATTTTACAGAAAGTGACATTAAGAAGCTTAAACTCTTTATTAGTATTGTTTTGCCACTGGTATCTCAAATACACACAAAAAGAAAACTGTGTGAATTACGGTGCTTATTTGGAGACCTTAAAATATAAAGAATTCAAATTTGTGGCCTAAAAGTCAAGATTCACAAAAAATCGTGTGTGTTAATAATTAGTGACTTTTTTTGCAAATAAAAATATTATTAATTTAATTTGTAGGCTATTACCTGCTTGGTAAATATAAATAAATAAATAAATAAATTTCTTCTAGATAATGCATAGGAATAAGCAATTTTTTTGTCAATAAATAAATAAGACAATGATTATATTCTAGCAAATGATAATTTTGGTTATAAAAAGAAAAGAAATCCCAACCATGGGATTGGGGTGGTGATGGCGCAGTGGTTAAGACACATGCCTTTGGTGTGAGAGACCCAAGTTCAAATCCACTGTGAGACACCAATGTGTCCCTGAGCAAGACACTTAACCCCTAGTTGATCGTGCGACCTCTGACATATATAGCAATTGTAAGTCGCTTTGGATAAAAGCGTCAGCTAAATGTAAATGTGACCTTGGGATATTTTATTTTTTTAACCAAAATTATGATTTGCTAGAAGAAAATCATTGTCTTATTTATTTATTGATTAAAATGTGCATATTCCCAGTCGTACTGACACATGAGAATTTGTCTTGTCTAAACACTATAACAACCAAATAAATAAATAAATATGTTTACTCGTTTCTGTTACTCAGCATCATTTTCTATGGCTGCACATATGGCACAATCTTCATTAAAGAGAGAGGAGTCTTTCATGGAAAGACCACTCCAGGAATTGCCTATCAGAATGATGGGTTTGTTTTTCCCCGCACAGGCTGTACAGCTCGGAGTGATTTCTCTGGGAGTCTCACGACAGACATTGTGTTCCTTTTACTTTCTTTTTTTTTACATCTCGGTTGTAAGTGTAGGGGCTGTACATAAGTACATAATTCATGACAAAACTCTCTGACTTCTCAACCTCTCTGCTAACTATCGTCATGCATAAAAATATAAAAGTTTAAATGTGTTTTAACTCACTGCCACAATGTGTGTTTGCTAGGGCATTTTGAGTGGGTGCTTTTTTGAAAAATTTTCACATTTATCATCATCCAGCTGACTTTTACTGACAGATAAATGTTAATTTCTCTGTCAAGTAAGTCAACATTGTTCATTTACATATAATGTGACAGTTTAACAATACAAAGCAGGTTGAAAATCTGTGAGTGATTTCAATAGGAATCCATGTGTTCATGAATTTAGTGTGATGCTGAAAATTTTCCCTACACAGATTTCGCCTCAGGTTCAACTCAGTCTCATGGATCGACATTTATAAACCTGAATGGTTTGAAAGTGTTTTGTTTTTTTTTCTGCAAATTTGGTGGACACCCAACTAGAAACCACTCAGAACACCCTGGTAACCACAAAGCAACACCCTGGCAACACACTTGCAGCATGGCAACGTGTTTTGCGCAGGGAATTATCACTCACATTCAGAAGCCCACTATGGAGAAAAGAGACCCAGCTGTGAGACCACATATTCATGTGCTTCCCTTTGGTTTCAGGGAGCAAAAGGTAAGGGTTGTTATTGGCTGGGGGATTGCTATGGCAACAACGGAGTCGGGGAGCAAGTGAAGGGGCTGCTGTCTGTCTTTTATACATGTGCTGGAATGAAACGGGGAGAGACGGTCGTCCAAGAGACTCTGACAAATCATGCAGGAAGATCTGCAACAGAACAGCTTGTGTAGTTTTTCTTTGATGGATATCAATTAATTATAAAGTATCTAAAAAGTCATTGTCTGTGCCACACCTTTGCTATAGGAACCTGTCGAAAATGCACTGAAAAAAATGATAAACGCAACACTTTTGTTTTTGCCCCCATTTTAAGGACTATTTCTTTCAAATATTGTTCTCAAATCTGTCTAAATCTATGTTAGTGAGCACTTCTCCTTTGCCGAGACAATACATCCACCTCACCGGTTTAGTGTTATGGCATTTCAAGATGCTGATTAGACAGCATGATTATTGCACAGGTGTGCCTTAGGCTGGCCACAATAAAAGGCGGAAACGATCTGAAAAGAAAACGCAAAAGTGGCGTTTCGTTATCACTTTTTATTCTGCGTTTAGACGAGCGTTATGGGTGGGAAATCCAAGTGCATATGGTGACGCAAAAGTGTGTGAAATGCGATGTAGTGTGCACTCCAGGCGGCTAGGTGGCGATGTGAAACACTGCCACACGACAACACCAAGTCCGCGCGCCTGCGTACAACCTTCACTGTCTAGCAGACTTTCGCGTTTTTACCCTTTAGACGGGAACGCGACGGTGGAGCGTTTTTAAGATTTGTTCTCAGGAGGGTGGTTTCACTTTTTTGCGTTTTTAAGCTCCAAAAATGCTGTCGCAGTGTAAACGAAAGTCATGTCCGATTCACCTGCGGGTCTTGTGTAAGCAGGGCCTAAAATGTGCAGTTTTACTCTATGGGGAGAGGGTCCGGGCGAATTTTAGAGTGGCCTTTTATTGTGGCCAGCCTAAGGCCAGCAAACAGTGCATAAAATTTGCTCCTTGATCTTGGTTTTACAGAAAGAGTGTTTATTTGACAAAATAGTTAAACTAAACCCACAGAAAAGGGTTTAGTGTTTTGACATTTTAGAAAAACTGTATTACATGTTTCAAGTGAAAAAAAAATAGTGAAACAAAAAAATATATTTTATTAATGTTTATTATTATGAAAAATGCATAAAATTAATATATATTTTTTATGTGAGATGTGTTTTTCTAAAACTGTGAGAAAATCAAAGGTTTAAATCTAAACAAGTTTTGTTCCAAATTTGAGGTTGATATCGCAAAAAAATAAGCTTTCAGCAAGATTTTGTTTGGGCGCAGTACCAAACCTTTCCACTAGATGAAATTTTCTTCCGTTTCGTTAACAATGCAATTTCTAGACCACGAACAATAAGTGTGACTATTTCCATGACCATTTCCATGATCTGTGTGTGTGTTGTTCACATAGCAAGAACCAAAACCTTTACCAAGTTCCGTATCAATCCAATGAAATAAAAATGTTCACAAAACGTACATGTCTTTTTCATTTAAAAACACCAGAGGGTTAAGGAACTAAATACAGTACTCAATCTTTTACTCGATTATTTAATATTGCCTTTTTATTGTATAATTGCAAAAACGTTTTATATTAAATAAATAATTCAATCCAGAGCACAATATTTACCATGGATCACTTTACAAATCATTTCTGATATGTCCAATTGTCTTTCTTGACAATCTTTCCCTTTTAAGATGACCTGTACCTTCTTACGTTGTCTTTTCATCCAGCGTGATTAATGAAGCTTGCAGGGATCACAGTTCAGTTCAGGTTATTGCACCTACAGGCACCAACTGGTTTGAGAATCGAGAGTGACGTGCATTCCCATTGAAACCCCAGGAACATCTGCCTCTGATGATAACAGAAGAAAAAAACATATGGCACAGGTTTGATGATCTGATATACAATTCCAGATTTCTTGTGGATGCTTTCCAAAAGCTAAAATCATGCCCACTAGCAAGTTTTCCAACAGGAGAGATCACTTATCATTCTGTTATGAGCCATGTGAAAAACTAATTTCAGCAGATGTCAAAGAGTTCATGCTACAACATATATTGCCCCCAACTTCAATATAATAAAAAAAAAAATCAATTTCTGAACTGTGTGAGAGGGCATTTTCAAAGAACATCATCATGTCTGATTTAGAGAAAGGCTGTAATCCTACACAAATGTCACAAACACGTCTTGAACAAATCACCATGTTGATAAGAAATGAAGGGCTTTTAATCGTGAGGAAGAAGTTGTCGTCTGCACCTGAATAATGTGCCATTTGGTGACAAATGAAACCGTGTCTTCTGAGACGTCTTATCAAGATTAACACTCTAGACAAATGAATGTACACTTCAGTCAGGTTTCTAAATGAAGAATTTTACAGAAATTATTCATTATTTCACACAATACATTCCCAGCTAACAGTTTTTTGCTCCAAGAACGTTATTATTTGGTTTCCAAAAAATAACCAAATGGGAATGATTTTATTGAGTGATGATGATTGAACATTATTCGGTCGATTACTATACTTACCAAATAAATAAATGATTGGAATATTGATTTGGGTAGAAATGGTTTTATAATATTACCTGTACACTGTAAAAAAAATATCGTTGGTTTAACTTGAAAAAGTAAGTAACCTGGTTGACTTAAATTTTAAGTTGATTGAACTGGAAAAAGTGAGTTAATACAATGAAGGAGATTGATTTAATCATCAGAAACTCAAAATAATAAGTTATCTGAATTAAATAAATTATTTAAGTTGATTTGACAAAAGAAAAATCTTGCTACAGTTACACTTACTAGTTACAGCTAATTCTGAAAAGTACAAATATTTCACTAGATTTTTTTTACAAAAAAAAAAAAAAAAATAGAGAAACAAGTCCATAATCAAATACTTTCCCACTATATATATAGTAAAAAATATCAGGAGTCGAGTAATACTGATGCATGTATTTAAAATCGTACTATAAACCGTGAAAGTGTTTTGAGCTTATATTCACCACAGACCTTATTTCAGACATTTAACCAAAAAACCCATTGAAAAAACCCATTGACTTTGGGACAATGAAACCGGAGCTGCTAAAATTCGAACTCTTTTCCACGTTTTGGCCTACAAAGTGACATCATACCTCTGAATTAGTAGTGCTTGCTAAGTTTTGGCAACAGTTTCTCCTTGTTATGTGGTGTTATTTCTGTAATATTATTTAAAGATGCTATCAGTTTCTGTGAATTTTATGGGATTACTTAGTGGAAAAATCTGAATCTAAACAGCAAAGTTGAAGAAAGTCTAGTGAAGAAAAGAGGCAGAAATGGATAATATTATGTATGGCAGTGTCATATAGACAGGCTCAGAGAAAGACGGGTGAAACTATGAATGGCTCATTTGGAAAAACAGGAATGCTCTGTTACCTCTCAGTCTTTCTTTCCGCTCTACTCTCGCCCTCTTTTTTTCCTCCGGCCTAATGAGGTTTAGGCCAGGCGGACAGCGAAGACAGATGACCCGCTGCTGTTATCTGTTCACCGGAAAGAGATGTCTGGTATTTTCAGCCCCATTTGAACCTTTCGGTTTGCTCAGAAACTTTTCTAGGAGCCTCAGAAACTTCTGGAAAGGTTTCCCTGGGTAACCATTGACTTGTACTGCATTAAACTTTGCCTTCACATAGCACAGAGTTCACATTCTCCTAAGGGGACAGAGAAAAAGTCTCAGATACACGTATCTACTCACAATGGCAAATAGAAGTTCCATGAGTGTTGAAAATAATGAAAATGAACAAAAAAAAATTACAACACATTTTGTCTTGTGTAACCGAGTGTTTCTTGTCGCATAAAAGATTTGACAAAATCTTAAGTTTTATTTATATTTACAACTATCAGAATAGTTTTTACCTCTTTGTTGCCTCTTAGATGTCCTCTAAAATATTTTGACATTTACGGACACCATATTTGAGAGTTTATTACCACAAGTACATTGATCAAACAAAATGAAATAAAATTCAAAATGGCCACAAATGTCCCATTAGTTTTTATTATTTCTTTCATGACTTGAAAATGTTAGTCCATCTAAAATTCAAATACACCAGTTGAACATCCATGCAGAGGTACAGAAAAAGTACACTGAAATTTCCATCAAACACTCACTCACAAAAATATCATTGATTGATTACCACAGTGAAAATATTATCCATGCACACAAGTTACAAACACCAGAGTTGACGTGATCCACACTGAACACCAAGTGAACAGTTCACTTCCATATCAAGTACATAGGATTGGCACTTTTTTCATACACCTGTTAAAACAGGAAGACTCCAGCATTCGAGTGGTTTAGGATATTAAAGACTTGATGAAACACCTGAATATAAATGAAAAGCTGTATATGCTTTATGCACTCCAATAATTACTGCACAATCCACAGATCATAAATATAGAAACATTCTTGTCCCTTCCCTGCTTAGCTTGTGTAACCAACCAGCAATTAGTTAGTATCAATGGGGCCATTTGTGATGTTTTTAAAAAAAAACGTTTTAATGAGCAATAGCCAGCTCATTACCTCAAAGATGCCTTTTCTGCTCTTCATCTATAAAAATGGAGCCAGGAAAGGAATAATTGCTAATTAAATTTGTATAATGTATTATGGAACATCAAAGAAGGCTAAATATTCCATTCAATAACATATTTTTTTTCCCAATAATGCCAGATTTTACTGGAAAAAATAATATCTCAAGCCAAAAGGATCCATCCATCCATCCGTGTCATATTTTATTTTATTCATACAGTTTCTGTTTGTTGAAAAAAGCACCAAACAGAACTCATTTGCATAACGAAACATGCAGCAAATATACCCCCCATTTCCTTTCCATTCGAATTTCACCTAAAAATTGTGGCTGTTGGAATGTGGCATAGATTGGCATTTCAATCTTTATACTTTCCTCTGGGTAAGTAGTGTGCATGGAAAGACTTTCGAAGAAAGTGTTTCATATGGACCATGATTTATAAAAGGCTTTTGACAAAGAGTCCAAGCCAGAACACACTTCATTTGTATCACAGATAATGACACTCAGTCAAACAATGATCCAATTTGAGCAAATCTAAACATGCAAAAATCGCTCTTTTAGTAAGGCTTCTGGGTTTCACCAAATGACATTCTGCACACTGTTGCAAGAATACGTCATCACATTTACAAGTTTACGCAAACACATGCAGTGTGACGCAAGATTGTTCAGTCTGGTTATTTATCCTCCAAATTAAACAACAGATGCATCAAGGATCAAAGCTAACATTAGCACAGAGGGCCATTGTGTAGCTTCAAAGGACTGCGCGGCTGAAAAAAGTCTTTACAATCAAAAAGGTAAACGCTTGGTTTTAATTAGACTAAATGACTAGAACAACCGAAATACGGAAGGCAACATACAAAAAGACTTTGTCATAGTTTCTTGTCAAAGACTCTTTTATATTTACAGGCAACATTCAAACATTCAAAGCTATGCTAATAGCGTTGCAATACCTTGATCTATCATTGGTGTAACTTGGTTTCAAAAAGTCGGAGGGACAGGCGTTTTTTTGGGGGGTGGGGGGGGGGTGGTTAGTTGCTAACACAAGGCTATATATCAGAAATGTACATTAACAAATGCACAAAAAATAACATTAAGTTTAATTTAATGAAATGTTTATTGTGGTCGCTTCATACTACACCTATATTTTGTCTTTAGAGTGAATATATGTCACGTATAGAATCTTTACATAGTCTGCAGGTGATGTTCATGCATTAACAGTCTAGTGGTAGAATGGTCTGGCGTGTCAAGTTCTGGCTTCTAATAGCGCTTTTCCACTGCTGGTACGGCTCGGTACGGTTCGGCTCGCTTCGCTTTTCCACTGCGTGGTACGACTCGGCTCGACACGGCACAGCTCGGTTCGCTTTAGCTCGGTTGCTTTTCCACTGCAGTTAGTACTGCTTTAAAGTGGGTGGGATTATAGATTGTTCGATAACAGCAGTGGCTGTAACTGGCTATTTAAATCTAGTGGGTTCGGTTTCTCGGTTCGATGTCTATTGGTCGCAAATACAATGACGCTGGTAGTGACGATTCTGTCTGACCAATCAGTGATCTGCAGTGTGTTCACATCACATTTAGTACCGGTACGGTACGCTTGGAACCTAAACAGGCCAGGTACCATTTAAAGTGAGCCGAAGTGAGCTGTACCGTACCATGCAGTGGAAAAGCGCCACAAGTGAGGCGTACTGAGCCGAGCCGTACTGTAACATGCAGTGAAAAGCGCCACAAGTGAGCCGTACTGAGCTGAGCCGAGCCGTACCGTACCATGCAGTGGAAAAGCGCCAAAGCGTGCCGTGCCGAACCGAACCGTACCATGCAGTGGAAAAGCGCCATAATCCACCCTTTTTCTCATTAAAACCAAAGATGTTCATCAGTGATATATCAAGAGCAGGGACACGTTTGTGGGCGTTTTGTTTTGCGATTTCACCAAAACGAATAGAGAGTCTGGATTTCTATAACAACTTGCCTCTAGATTGCCTCTTATTTAACATAGTGTTAGGCGACATGAAAGACAAAGAAGCAAATATTACAGATGACCCTTTACCCTTTTGTAGTGTCCCAGTGTCCCATTCTGAAGGCCTAAAATCCAGACAAGAGCTTGCACAAAGGGACCTCCCGTTCACCTAACAGCATGTCTCTTTTCAGGCTAGTGCCTTTATTCACAACCTTGATCTTCAAAGCTAGGTTCTTAACCTGAGCCGAAGTCACCGAATCAAAAAAGAAGTCCTCGTTGAAGATGGGATTGCGGCTGTTCTTGATTATCGTGCTCCTCTGCTTCTGCAACTTGCCTGGATTGAGGTAAAGCGACACGCAACAGTTGATGCTCTTAATATCAAACATGGGATCATACAGGTCCTCGGCTGCCAGAATTCGGATTCGCAGGCGGGCCGTACCCGCGTCGTAATCTGCACAAAGTCGGACGGTGCCTCCTTTGTGCATGTTGATGGTGTGCTCCTTGTGGTGAAGATGCTCCAGAGCTCCACCACCTTGCAAGGAGGAACAGTGGCTCCGTCTAGGAACGTTCGGGCTGGGCTCTGCCGAACTGCACTCGTCTGTGGACAAGGAACTATGCCTGGCAAATGTCCGCTTGCCTTTTGCAACCTTGGCCTGTGTCTCATGTGTGAAGATCTTGAGTAGGGAGGCGGAACGGGAGAGCAGAGGTGAACTAAATGGGGAGGACTCTGCCGAAGAGCAAGTGTCACTCTCGCCACCGCTAAAGTATCGGTAGGGGTTTATGTGCGAGGTGTTGAAGTCCGGCGGGTTGAGGTGATTCCCCTCGTTGGTGCTCTTGCTTTGGGTCTTGCGTTGAGTGTTGGGTGACGTTACTGGGCTGGTGTGGTCACAGTGGAACAGGGATTCTTTCCGCCGGGTGTGGGGACTCTCCATCAATGTGGCAAAGCCATAAGAAGTCTGAGTCTTTGGAATGTAAGGAAGTGACATGGCGGTCTGGGATTGAGGGTCGGCGTTTGTGTCACCAGCTACAACGTCGTCCGCACTCTCGATCTGAATGATGTGGCGGTTTGCCGCCCTAAGCAGGTTCTTGGTGTCTCCTGCCAACTTGCTGACCAATCGTGGGCTACGAGGGCTACTGATCTTCTTGTTGTTGATGGTTTGCTCAGACGTTGAGGGTTTCAGACTTTCTTTGGACTTGACGTCAGAAGCTTCGGTCTCTGGTGGGCAGCTTACCAGCTTTGGAGGGATGAAGAAATCTGGAATCTTATCAGGCGTGAGGACATTGCTATAGGCAGGCCCCTTCCCCTTGTCACCTGCCTCTCCCTGCCGGAGCACATTTGTTTCAACTGAGTCCCGGATCTTCTCCAGAACCCACATGATCCCTCTGGGTTTAACCCACTGGGTGATGCGCTGTCGCCTGGAACAAGTAACAAAATGTTCAGCAATGAGCCTTAGATACGCACAGATAGTAACATCTGACTGTTTATGATCAATCGATAAACAATCGTCCCACATATGTTAAGTTGTAGGGTGACGTATACAGCAATTTTCAGGGGGGGCTTTGAGGGTTGCAATTTATTTTATTTGTTTGCGAGGTGGATGGAGGTTCAAGCCCCTGCTTCACTTCTTGACTTGAATAAAACAACATGATAGTACATGAAGCTCATTTACAGTAGACTTTGTGTGACATGGCATTTAATGATCTGGAAAAGAGAAATATCAAGATCAAACCAATCTAAAGATATTTGACAAACTATGACCGTAGACAGAAAATCGAAGAAAAAAAAAAAGTGCCTGACTTTTTTTTCTTTCTGGCACCATGCAATTACATTTTTTCCCCTTTATTGTTTACAGTCCTGGTCCTAAAGTAGGCCTACCCAATCATAAGACATTTTGTGCATATGACACACACCTGATTAATATCATCAGCTCATGAGAGGCTAGGAAGAGACCTTTACTGGGTGCGTCAGATAAGGCGACATCCAAAATAATGTGCATTGGGGTACTTCGGACAAGAAATTGAGAACAACTAACTTAGCTAGATAAAAAAACAAAACCTTTATTTACATAGCACTTTATACAATACAGAAGCTTTCAAAGAAGCTTTAGAGTGATAACAGGAAAATTATGCATTTGCTTGCTGTCTAATGTTTAATGTTGGTTCAGATCCGTTGATTCAGATCATCAATGATTAAATTAGTTAATTTCATCTATAAAGCAGTTTTTGGAAAACAGTGATGTCATCGTCCAGCTCAGTTCAGTTCTCCAATGGCCAACGAACGAGCACGGTGTGATTATGATTCAGGCAGCATTCATATCAGGATCGGTAGTATTCAAAGAACACCAACGTTTGGACATAAATTGTTAAGGTTAACACTCAAGGACTTAATCATTTTAATTATTCTTATTTATTATCCAAACTGAGACTGAATGCAGAGGAATAGCAACAGGTTGCACTGAACATACTGATGGTTCGTCTGATTCAGACTTCCACTTCTGACAACTGCTACTCACTTACAGCAGAATTTCTCATTAAAAATGGTGTTTGAAAATCAAAATGACATAATCTCAATCAGCAGATTATTTTTGTTTAATTTAAAATATGTAACATCCACAACATCCCGCTTTTCCTCTACAAAAGTAGCCTACAAAATGAGTAACCAGGTGGTAAGAGTTGTAACAGTGGCAAATGTAGCTACTTGGACTAAAAGGACACTCAAAGCGTCATAAATTTGTATTTTGACCTAAGCATAACTATAAATTACTGGAAAACAAGACAACAAATCACTAGTTTCTAATCAATCGTCTAATATAGGCTATCAAATAATAACAATTCTTAATTACAATGAAGTTCAAGAAAAGTAAACTTTTAAACCTGTTGCTTAAATTACCTACTGGATTTGTTGATGATTTTCCTCTCCGTTGCGAATCCTCAGACGGTTTTCACCTTTACAGGCACTTGAGTGTTCATTAGTCTGTGTGCTGCTGTGTTTCCCCAGACCGCGGTGAGAGAGGTGCAGATCTGCGGGTCTCCTGTTGCGCTTATATAGTCCTACTGCAGACGCGCGCGCGCCTGAACGAACCAATCAGAGGAAACGATGGTCCTCCGATTGGAAATGAATCGATTCAGCGAAGCCGTGGACTGAAAACAATCAGGGCTAAATAAATGCTGGGTTTAAAAAAAACACACACCGTGCTGTGCCTGTTTGATTTAAAGATTATAGTTTCAAATATTGTTAAAAGGATGTTGATGTTGCAGTATCTAAAAATAAAGTCAAGGTTTACTAGAAACGGAGAATCGACTCTTATTCGGAACAGTTTCAGTTAATAAAATATTTGTGGGGGGTTTTTTTATATAATTTTAAAATGTCGGTTTCCTTAAAGTCATTATGAACAATATATTAGTCTTGAATTAAAATATTTATAACTATATTCTATTTGTTCTTTTCTGAATGTTCTCATTATCTATACCTAACCAGAATCGTTCAAATAATCATTAATTAGTTAGAGATTATCGTAATTGAATAGCTTGGTAGGCTAATAGCAACAGTAAGTAGGCTAGCATAGCCTCCAGGAGTTGATTAAATCGGTTCTCACAGAAGAGGATGCACAAAATAAGTATATGGTACTTCATCATCGCTTGTTAGTTGCTCAGTCATTGCTAAAATTGACTGTTCTGAAAAAGTGAAGTCAGCGGTGCACAAAAGCGCTTGACTTAATTTAATTTAAATCACTTGCCTATCTTCTGCCGCGATCATTGGTTTCCCTGGAGACCTTGCCATATCTATGGCAACAAATAGATTTTTACAGGAGCAGAAATAGAACAGGTTTCAAATAGTGACCCAAATGGAAATAAAGAAACCCCGGGGTGATGCTGTGGGGCTCCAGGAATAGATTAAACTGACTTATGAACATGAACTTTTACTAAAAGCATTAAAAAAAAGAAAAAAAAAGCTAAAGAACAACAACAACAAAAGTTCACACAATGAAGCCATAGGCCTAAGATATATATATATATATATATATATATATATATTTGTATATATATATATATATATACAAAAATATTGATATCAGCCCACCCCATTTAGCTTATTGAAAAAAGTAACAATGTCCATCTTGTGATTAGATTTTAACAATCTTTTCAATTAATTGGCTGACAATATCTAAAATGTACCTGATTCGAGGAAGAGGGTCATTTAAGAGATTCTGTCCCAGCGGTTTACAGTCTACATTCTGACTGTTTTTCTCACAAAGCTTCAAAAGACATAGAATATAGCTAACAAGGCATATGGAACATGTTTATGAAACTTTTATGCTGATTTTTGAAGTAAAAAAAAAAAAACTATTTACTATAATTACAATGAAAGAAAAATTACCAGTAGGCCTACACTCTTCCACAAAATAATCTAAAAGTGATAGTCCACCAAAAAATTACAATTCTGTCATTAAATACTCACCTTCATGTCTTCCAAACCTGTGGTAGTTGCTTAGCTGTCAATGGAGGGACAGAAATCTCACATTTCATCAAAAAGATTTTCATTTGTTTTCCGAAGATTAAAGGCACACTATGCAGGAATTCCGCTTTTGTCATACAGCGACCCCTAGAGTTGCTGTGGATTACTTGTATTTAAAGGGGTGATGAACTGAGAAATCAAATTTTCCTTGAGCTTTTGACATCTAAGAGGTCATCATATTATAAGAATATCCTGTAAGTTTCAGAACTGAAAACATCCTTGTTAGTCCAATAAAAGCTTTTATTGACAACAGGCTCAGCAAATGACTCGTTTTTCAAAGTGGGGAACTATGACGACAAAGAGGATAAAACACCACCCCCACAGAAGAAGATCAACACCTACTTCAACACGGCCGTTATAGCCCCGCCCACCGATTCACGTATTACACGCATAGCTAAATAACATAGGCCTACCTCGTGATGACAAACCGGATCGAGCTACCGAGCAATACAAAATATTGTTCCTATGGATTCCAATAGGACTGCATGGATAAACTTTATTTTTAATGGTGTTCCAGCTGATGAGGTAAAACATTGTCCATCAGTTCGCTAAGGATTGTTTTGTAAACAAGGTCGAACATGTATGGGCGAATCATTCCGGTTGCCATTTTACAACTTTGGACGTTTTCAAAACAATTTCCCCCAAGTGCCATCTGTACATGTGTATCATTTCACAATATATATATAAAAAAATATATATTGTGAAATGAAAAAATCCTATATCGTCCAGCTCTAATCTATCAGCTCCTTTGATCCATTTGATTTTATGTTGGATGCCCTTCCTGACACTACCCTCTGCATTTATCCGGGCTTGGGACCGGCACAAATAGGACACTGTCTTGTGCGCTGTTGAGGCTGCATTTATCTTTCTTTTTTTCTTTCTTTTTTTTTTTGTCATCTGTCTGTCTGTCTGTCTGTCTGTCCTTTCGTTTTTTATCTCAATCTTTTTTATTTATTTTTTGGGTTTTTTTTGTTTGTTTGTTTTAATTTCTTTAGCAGCTTATATCAGTCATTAGCATCAGTCGTCTGCTTTTCTGTGCAAAAGTCCTAACAAATGCGTCCATATCTAGACCTGTTGTTATGGGGTCTCGTGCTCTTTGTGAGATCAAAATTAAGAGCTTCAACCCATGAACTGCTCCTTAAACAAAGATAAAGCACTGATTTGTATCATGACAATAAAGAGGGCTCAAACATTAAGGGCTCAAACATTATTAATTATGAGAGTCTCAGTCTACACATTACATTATCAATGGTGTTTTAGGATGCCAAAAAATTATTATAATAATGTAATAACGATTTAAATGTAATTATTCCTATGACGTAAAATCCATATATAGCCTATTATTTAGGCTACTATATGAAAATGTATATTTTAAATGTGTATTTTAGTCTGCATTACACTATAATATAGGAAAATTAAAATACTTTTGTCCTTATTACTACACTTGCAAAAAATAAACCTTAAACTTGTATTTAGGGGGAAACAAACACCAGCTGATCGCGTGAGCAAAGTGCACACGTTTCTCTAAATACCCAGCACAAACAGAATGCATATTCTTAAAGTCTTGTGCTCTTTTATGAAAATAAAAAGCCATATCATGGTTTCGATTTTAGTTCATTGGCAAAATATAACGCTAGAGACCTTCATGTTAGTTTATACATTTTAAGTCTCATGTTCAGCAAAAGGCGGATTCGAACTCGAGTCCGAGCGCAAAAACTTATTCACGAACGACACGCTCTACCATATACGCCACTGTCGCTGTTCCGTGACGTGTGTGTTTTGTTAAAAATTTACATCGCTACCGGCCTTTGCGAGATTGTGACCAGTAGCTAATTTGAATGAGGGATAGAGAGCAGAGAGCGCTCACTCTGACCATTTTTCTTGAAATATTTTTTAAATTTCGGATCTTTGCATGCCATCACGTTTGGGGGGGCAGTCACGGCATTTGGGGGGGCATTGCCCCTCCTTGCCCATGCCTATATCCGGCCCTGGTCGTGATTCTCATGAGATTTGTCGGGGCCAATTATATGGGTACAATTTTTACATAGTGTGCCTTTAATGAAAGTCTTGCAGGTTTAGAACAACATGAGGGTGAGTAAATGATGACAGAATTTTCATTTTTGGGTGAACTAACCCTTGAAGTCACACAGGTTTGGAACAAAATAAGTAATATGTTACAATTTTTTTTTTAATGCTAATTTTAGCACATATAGTCTGTTCACCAAATTCAGTATGAACTCATGTCAAGTGCCATTACCAAGTCACACTGTGCCTCTATTTCAAGAGTTTAGTTGGATGACTAAAGTACAGAAATAAAAATCAGGTATAACAAGAAAACAGGCTTGAAAATGAATAAAAAGGTCACAGTTGGACAGCCAAAAGGCTAAGAGCTCTTAGTGTTCTAACAAGTAATCTATGGCTCACATGGATTCATTTCTGTTCTTTGACAAATGCATTGGGCAGAAAGGAAGAGAATAAACACCACTCACTCATTTCACAGTAGGGTTTATTGTTAAACTACATTGCCCGTCAATGGTTTCCTTGGCGACAGCGACACACTCATACCCTACTGGGAGACTTCAAGTTTTTCCCCCATCAACCTCTTGTCTGAATTGCTTGACCCACCAATCAGCAACAGTAAAGAGTGTGTGAGAAGAACACTCCTGTCTGGAGGGCAAGACCTGGCTATGATGGGTTACGGATGCTTCATGTACAGTAGTTAAACCTTTAATGAAACATTAAAGGGATAGTTCACCCAAAAATGAAAATTCTGTCATTTACTCGCCTTCAAGTTTTTCCAAACCTGTATGAATATCTTTCTTCTGCTAAGTTTCTACAAAACTTCACATATAAGCACATTCTGTGTTAACTTAAAGGGACAGTTTACCCAAAAATGTAAATTCTGTCGGCAATATCTTTCTCCTCCTGAACACAAAAGAAGATATTTTGAAGAAAGTCAGTAACCAAAGACTTATATGCTATGGAAGTCAATGGGGCCTGTCAACTGTTTGGTTATTCTTCAAAATATCTTCTTCAGCAGGAGAAAGTAATTGCTGACTGAATTTACATTTTTGGGTCCTGTCCCTTTAAGACGTGGCACAACTTGCTTATATGTGACATTTTGTTGCGCTCCAAGACAAGCTAAAAGGTTTTACAGGATTTCCACATCATTTGACCAATGACCAAGTCATTTATGATTACTAGATAAGGACGTTAAATCCAATAGAGATTGCGGTCACAAAATACAATATAAAAACATGCATTTTATTCCTAGAACATGGATTTTTTTAATGTTACAATTAAATTTGTTTTTAAAAATGGCCCCTGAATTACAAAATCAAAACCTATTGATCAACAAAAATGTTGTCCCGGCTCTGTGAATTTTAGCAAGGGCTCTGGACAGATCAGAGTCGCAGATAATCAATGCCTTATGCTGAGGTCATACCTCCAATCAAAGACTTTTCAGTTTAGCTGACCTTCAAGGTTTGTTGGCGTCATAGATGTGAAGAAAAACTCCAGACTACAGTGATATCTTGACAAAGGCCCTTCATCTTGGCATGTGTGTGAAACTCCATTCATTCCTCATTCCATGAAAGGTCTACCACCTGCAATCAAGATTTATACCTTTATATAACAAATTATTCCTTAATTGTAATCCACTGTACTATAAAGTATATATAAGGGAATTGTATCATCAGAATGTCATGATCCATGTTGACTCACTCAAATACTCCAGGCACTGGTATTGAAGTATATAGTGTCACTCATTTTGAACTCCTTTAATTAGAAATGTAGCAAATTTAAACCAAACGCTCAATTTTGAAGAAGAAATGTCAGGTAGATAATCACATTAACCTATCAGCTATAGTTAGGCTAGGTTGATAAGTGTAATTCCATAACAATAAGAAGCCCACTGCTGCCCTCTAGTGGCAAAAACTACCAGTTGGCACAGTATCTACAGTTGCTTTAATTTATTTCCATATATATATATATAGGGCTGTGCAAAAATTAATTGCGATTAATCGCATCCAAAATAAAAGTCTGTGTTTGTGTGTGCTGTATATAATTATTTTGTATATATAAATACACACACATGCATGTATACATTTAAGAAAATGTGTTATTCATATATAAAATATTTTTATTTATATAATATAGAATATGTATTTATATATATATATATATATATATACAGAATTTAAGCGCAAATAATTCTTAAATATATACATGCATGCATAGGTATTTATATATACAAAATAATTATATACAGCACACACAAATATATTATGTAAAACAGACTTTTATTTTGGATGCGATTAATCGCAATTAATTTTTGCACAGCCCTAATATATATATATATATATATATATATATATATATATAGCAGTGTAGAAAGATAATTTACTATTCATTCTATAATTGGATTTCATTATTTGTTTATTCATCAACATAATTGAATTACAGCAATTCTAATAAAGACCTTTATTCAGACTTTAAATAGATTTATAAAGCATACCAAAAAGAAAAAAAAAAATACAAACAAGAAGGGAAAGTGGCCTAAAATACCCCTTTGTGCATATAAATCAGCTGAGCGTGTTCAGAGAGTCTGTTGGGGTCAAAAGGTGAGCCACAAGCACACCAGTGTTTTCCTGAGGAGGATTTTAGGTTTCAAATAAAGTCACCACAAAGCTTTAAAATGAATAAGGATATACAGAAGAACAAAACTAAAATACCCTCAAATGTCAAAGAGTAGCTAAATATAGCGCAGAATCAAACTACCTTGCAACCCCCTAAAATCGAAAACAAAACACACATAAAGACAGGTTTGTATGTGGGTAAAATGACACGTATTGAAGTCCCAAAGGAAACCAAGCTTAGAGTGGTGTGAACTGTATGCGATGCATCAATTTACTAAACGCCTTGCAGAAATCCTCTTCTGGAGAGCATTTATCGAAGAAGCTTGTTCAGTCCTTGGCTACAGAAGCACAATATAATGCATTGTGGTGTAAGAAAGAGAAGTAGCCCTGAGAATGTGTATTAGCTACTTTCCCCCGCCCACTCAAGACGCCAATACTGTTAAATCACAGAAATGGAAAACCTGAGATCAGGTGCCTTTGAAAGGCAAGTTAGTTGTTTATCAAGGACCAAATAAACATGAGCTGGACTGTTTCGCACTGATTGGTTGAGCCAAACCTGCCCCCCCCCCAAAAAACCAGACAAAACAAAATGTAAGAAATAAAAAACAAACCCTCAAAGCGCCTGGGTTGGGGACGTTGGGGACCTCAGGATCTTCAAACAAAAAATTATACCTTTTCCTTGATTTAAAACCAAATGGAAACCAGAAGTGAAGAGTTCGGAAAGCTCAGGTCGTCAAGAGTCCTCCGTCCCAGAGTCATCCTCATCATAGCGACAATCCTCACCTTCCTCTCCATCATCGTCGTCTAAATCCTCATCATCGTAGTAGTCATCGTAGAATAAGGTGGTGCCCTCGTCGGCAGGTGGGGCGCGGGTACGGATGCAGTATTCCGCCAGTGTTGTGGGCACTTTGACCCCATCCCGTTCTGCTTCGGCTTTGGTGGCTAAAACCTGCTTCCTGTGAACCAGGACCAAAACATGCAGTTGAGTGTAACCCTCAAAATACAATAACTCATGTATATTATGCAAATATGTCCAAGCATGACCGCAATGAGTGAAAGGGTTTTTCGAACCTGATGATCTCTGCATATTCGCGGTCTTTCCCCTTACTGTCCCTCCATTTGCGGTACATGACCGAGGCGTCAACGTTGGCTGGCGAGAAGGTGTTGGGCTCATTCAACAGTGAGATAACGCTCAATAAGATCGTCCTGAAAGGGAAGCAGATATCAGCTGATTTAATGAAACCAATTACGACCATTTGGCTTAATTATTAATCTCAAACTGTTGAGCTGAACAGAGGAAGAGGCATTGTGTAAACAATCACAAGGGAAACTGTCAAATATCCTGCTGTAACATTCAGACAGGCTTTTGATTAAGTAGTGTGTTGTACCTCACATTCTGTGTTGGGTTCCACCTCTCTGATGGCAGTTCTCCACTCTGGGGATCGTCCACTGGCGGGTGCAGGATGGAAATACATACGTCGCCATTCTGAAATAATTTTAAAGGGGCTGTCAACACCTTTGAATTCTTAATTGAGGTTAAAAAAAAAGTTCATGGCCCGCAGACTATTTATTTGTATGAATATCTGAGGATGCAATATTTTACAGATGTGACGCAATGACTCAATATAGCCTTCTAGCCGAGACTCCTTTATGCGTATAGATGTGACGTAGTGAGTCAATATAGCCTACTAGCCGAGACTCTTCTTTATGTGTACAGATGTGACGCAAAGACATGCTCGAATCTCCTGCAGAATTCCACCAGTACCACTGGAATTAAAAACATTATTATAAGCTTACCGCTCTGAATCGAGCTAAGGCAGGCAAGCAGATAGTTTTGAACACTGGCTGGTTGTGTTTTTTATTCTTATTTTTTTTTCAAATAAATGCAGCTACGGACTGCAGATTTAACTAGATTGAAAATACCAGATTTTCAATATGGTCTTCTGTATAAACAGCGCATTTATTTTAATCACATTCAATTCCATTTTTAAGGGGACAAAAAGGGTCTAAAAGCAATTAGGATGGTCAAATTTGGTAAATTACTACATCAATTTATATTAAATAAAAAGGCAACATTCATAATGAGCATTACATGTTTATGTCATAAAATGAATTTAATTCATATGTTTTAATGAAAGCCAACACTGTAGTTTGATTGGGTTGAAGTATAACCTCATAGATGTTGGGATGCCACATCTTTGTGAGGAATCTGAAGGCCGGAGGAGAGTACGGGTAGTCAATGGGGAATTTGATGCGTGCCTGAAAGAAATAACACATTTATTAGGGAATGGATGCAATAGCACATTGTCTTCAACAATACGTGATGAGCTCACTCAATAGAACAATACAACACCAACACCCAATCTCTACCGTTACTGTATACAGTACCTTTGTCATTTAATGGCTAAATACACCTCCATGACACATTCAATGATCTATTCAATGGCTGAGTGGTAAAAACTGCTTGGGTAGATAACAAATATATCTCATGCTCCAAACCACACATCCCTTTCAAAAACAAGCATGACCTTTTGATATATTTTCCATTTGAGAATATCTGATTTAGCTGAAAGCCTGTTACAAGTTAAGCTACCATCTGCAATGCAGCCAAAAGTATATAAACTGATTTATGGGGCAGGCTGATAATCCGTCCTAAATTTCGACAGAAGACGCCAAGCATTTCATTGCGCTGTAGAATGACATAACCTCAATACGTATACATACTATCAGTTAAAAGCGAGAGCGCTACCGTAAGCTTTATGTGGGTGTTACCAAGGTATGATCTTTTCAAAGGTAGAGGAGCAATCTTAAAAACAACCTGTAGATCCACCAGGGGTTTGTGAACTTCTTACCTAGAAGAAACCTAAGAGCTTTATGAAATGGGAAAATCATATAAACACCAGTTCATGGACTATCATTCCAACCGTGGGGTTCGAGAGGCACCATATTAAAAGGGTTCACCAGGGTCTAAACTGTGATACAATTACACACTGGATCAATGACATGCATATTCATGTATATCCGAGCATAAACAAGCCCTTTATGCACACAGATCCTTCACAATCTGTGGAAAGCTGAGCCTGGTGCCTTACGATACAGAGGGTGGTGGGCACACATGCATACGGACCACTCCGCAACCCCCACACACACATTTGCTGATTTGGCACGGTCAGCTGGTGTGTGCTTCAAAGAGCCAGCTCTCGGAGGCGAGACTGGGGGTTGGGAGAGCCAGCAACCAAACACGCACACACAGTAGCACCTGTATGTATCAAGTGATACACGATTCCTGAAACCAGAGTAGCGCAGGGCAACTTTCAAGCTAGCAAGCTTATTAAACCTCAAGTAGGGATCCATGTAAGAAGGTAACGCTGTATTACGTTTCGCCAGAGGCAGCTTACAGGAGTCGCCACTGCACGTGACCCGACACACAAGAGCTTGTGACAGCAGAGTCTCTCTTTGGCTACATTATCCAACAACTAGATGAGAGGACTTAAACTTAAGGCACAGGGATGTGCAAAAACACAGATTTTTCACGTACTAGTCAGTACTTGAGGCCCAGTACAAATAGGCGGTGTATGATTTTTATGATCATTGCTTGTGCAACGTCAGCAGTCTATCAGACGGTATGATAAACATCATAGCTAAGAATTAGATGTACCAATCAACATGTTCAAAGCTCACTGAACAACTGCGCGACAAACTTTCCGATGCTGCCAGAACTTTGTCAGAGGGTCAGATTTACTGCAAACGTAATTAACCGGCCATCAGTGAACGGCACACTAGCTGACTAATGCCAATTTTTGACCTACGAGGGAAATCTTTCACAAACTTGTCCATAGATTGAACAGTCGCATTTCAACAATTAATTAAGTCAGCTTCTGTAATTTGTTGTGTCATAAGATTATCAATTTTGACGGTGTATAAAGGCACTGCCATAAGAAGTCCAACACCAAGAAATTGAGCAACTAAGCATTTAAAAACATGACGTCAGAAATACAAATTCGCACAAATTCACGTTTAAAAATTATCGTGAACTGCATCTGCAGTAACCACAGTTAACATATTAATTATTTCTACACTGTAAAAAAATATTTTCAAGCTTCGTTTTCACAACATTTGTCAAATCAACTTAATTTATTTAGTTCAGATAACTTATTATTTTGAGTTTCTGATGATTAACGCAATCTCATTCTTTGGATTAACTCAATTTTTCCATTTCAATCAACTTAAAATTAAGGCAACCAGGTTACTTAATTTAAGTTAAACCAACAATATTTTTCAGTGTATGCAAAATCTCCCTACCACAACAACAACAACAACAACAACGCATCTACGCATCTGAGGCCCTGTTTACAGCTGGTATTAATATGCGTTTTGGTCGAGTGGATCACAAATAGACGAGGGAGACAATCCCGTTCACACCTGGTGTTTTAATCCGTCTTGTCCACTTTCAATCCCTTCTGATTTCTTCAAGGGTCTATGGGTGCGTAAATGTTACTGTATGCAGGTTTTTTTTTTCAGATCATTGTGCTTGGTTCGTTTTTCGTTTTCAACTCAAACTTGGGTCTTCGGTCAACTAAGTTGAGATCCCGTCTGCCTAATTCGCTTCCCATTATGTTTAAGCATTAGGCGGAGAGTAGAATGTCCTTTGTGCGGTTCGAACAGTGAGTGTTTCACACTATGAAAGCAATCCTGTCTAATACGTTTTCAACTACTTCTGGAAGTGGTTGAAAGTGGACAAGCTCAAAAACTATTTTGACCCTGTTTAGACCAGTATTTAGTGTCGTCCGCTTGTGATCCGATTAACGAAAAGGCTTCTTAATAGCAGGTGTAAACGTGGCCTGATATGTTAGATCTCTAAATTTGTCTCCCAAATTCTGAATACTCTAAATTCGATGACGAGGAAGTGGTTGTTTGCATTAAAATTAAGGAAACCATTAAGGTTGGCACAACTGAATATCTACTGGCAAGATGAGTGTCATACGATGCGTCACATCTCATTGTTTTTGGAACGGTTGATTCCACAGATGTTAAACTTTGCGAACGAGCCAAATGCAGCATTTGGTTTACATGAGAAACTCATTCTGCAATACACTCATATCCGTATATTTGATTGAAGTGAAATGCAAATGACATGATGGGCCTTTTGGAATTAAAAATACATTTTGCTTGAAAAATCCCTTTCTTAGAGGAACCTAAATATAAATCGCTCTCCTATAATCCAAAGAGTAAACGAGAATCCCATGGATATTGAGCTGGGAGAGGAAATAAACCAGGTCACTGCTGCTCTCCTTGAAAAGAAAAGAAAAGTCCTGTTCTCCTAACACCTCCATCACTCTTCCTGATTTTCTGTTGCATAATCTCACTCCCTCAATCCCAACTGAAACATTAGGGGCGGGAAAATGGCATCCTGAGGGAAAACAGTCCCTGAGGGTCATAGGTAGGAAATTGTTCTTAATTCCCACAGCAATGTGATTTGTACAAAACCTTCATTGATTTGGGAAAGAATGAGCAAAAAAACCTAAAACAAGTCCAATCCAACCTGACCATTCAGATGGAAAAGCATTTTAAACCAAATGTGGTTTTAAAAATAATTTCTAGCCGGGTTTGAAGATATTTGATTCTAGTTCTAGTTATAGCATTATTTGTTTCTCAGTGACCCACATTTGATTTGACAACTGATAAGGTGTACAATTTACGCTTGGAGCCACAAAATTGAACTATACAAGTGAAGATATCAAAATAAAGTTTAAGAACCGAAATCTAAAAGGATAGTAAGAGATGTTTAATACTTCTTGAATTACAGGCATGCACACTTTGTAAAAAAACAATGTTCATGGCAGCCAGACAGGTGTCTTTGCGCAATTGTGTTGATGGATACATTTCTAGTTTCAACTTTTTTCTTAAGATATTTCTCTTTAAAAGAATAAAGCATCAACTGTATGAAAAAGTGAGCCAAATTTGGTTTTCAACTACTGCAAATGTTTACAATTTACACATGGAGTCACATTAAGATCTCCATATCTCTGGGATTGAACCATCAAGGGCCTTTGAAATGAAAACACCAAAAGTAAAGTTTATTAAGTACCAGAAAATAGAAGGATATTATGATATCTTTAATACTTTGAGTTACAGGCATGCAAACTTGAGAAAAAATCTTTCATAAAAATAGCTTTTCCCCCATTTTTGAACAGTCACCGTTGGATTATAATGCAAAAAAGATCACTAAATGCAACAGATTTGACTAATAGACTCAAAGAAAAAAAATAAAGATGCTGCCATCTTTCTAAAGTCCTTTTACCCCCCTGCAATTTGGCTTCAAATCTCACAAAATAGTGCATTACTCAGTGAAATATACATCAATTACATTTAATATTTGTGTTTGTCGTTCTACAGAACAAAAAAAAAAATTACAATCAAAAATTTGAGCCAAGATTTGGTTGATTTGACACGCAATGACCCTATAACACACATGAAGTGTACAAAAACCTCCATTCACTATTGAGGTAAGCATGAGTGAAATTAAGTCAAATCTGATCGGACCATTCAGCACACATCTTGAAAGAGTTAAATCGAGTTGTTATTATGGGCTGACTCACTCCAAACACCTCCCAGGCACAAAATGAAGCCAGAACAGGCTCAGTTAGAGCATCAGTCTCTCAATTCTGTGACACTCCGTCCGACTGGCTCGGGGAGCGGGTAACATGACTCGAGTCAAGCCCAGCTCACATCACCTGCCAAGGGCCTGGGTGGAGCTCAGGAGCCAGCCCTGCTACCTGTCAGCTAAGCGCCACGTGTAAGAACTTGAAGCCTGCTTAAAGGGATCCCACTCATGAGAACTTAATGACCGTGCCAAAGCTCTCTTAGCTGGAATATTGAAGACAGATAGAGAGTGACGTTGTTAGGGGTGGACGGGTGGCATGACCAAAATCTAATGAACACGATAGGAGTCATTTTATATTACAGGAACGATTTATCTTCCGATTAACATTCAATTTTTGTCAGAAACTCAAAAAAGGTTTTATATAGCCAAATCTTATTAACGGATTGTTCCGATACAATTCTGAATGGATGAGCAGTGTTCATAGACGCTGTAAATTGACTACAAAATACACACCTGGGATGGTAAATTCAACGGTAATACGTAAAGTTTGTTAAAATAATGAAATACACTTGACTGGAAATTAGTTTTAAACAACTATTTATTTGACATGTGTCTGTTGTCACTTAGACAGACATGATAAATAGACAGAACAACAGACAGAGACAGAAAGATAAATAGAAGTATAGAATGACAGAAATAAGTTAAAACAACAGATAGATAGACAGACAGACAAAAAGATTCATAGAGAGATAGACAAACAGACAAAAAGATAAGATAGACAGAGAGATAGATAGACAAAAAGATGAGATAGACAGATAGATAGACAAGCAGACAAAAAGATAGACAGATAGACAAACAAACAAAGAGATAGATAGACAGACAGATAGGTAGACGAACAGACAAAAAGATAGACAGACAAACAGAGAAAAAGATATATAGACAGAGAGATAGACAAACAGAAAAAGATAGATAGACAGACAGATAGACAAACAGACAAAAAGATAGATAGACAGAGAGATAGATAGACAAACAGACAAAAAGATAGATAGACAAAACAATAGACAAACAGACAAAAAGATAGATAGACAGACGGATAGAGACAAACAGACAAAAAGATAGACAGATAGGTAGACGAACAGACAAAAAGATATATAGACAGAGAGATAGATAGACAAACAGACAAAAAGATAGACAGAGAGATAGATAGACAAACAGACAAAAAGATATATAGACAGAGAGATAGATAGACAAACAGACAAAAAGATAGACAGAGAGATAGATAGACAGACAAAAAGATATAGACAGAGAGATAGATAGACAAACAGACAAAAAGATAGATAGACAGACAAAAAGATAGATAGACAGAGAGATAGAAAGAGACAAAAAGATAGATAGACAGATAGGTAGACGAACAGACAAAAAGATAGATAGACAGAGAGATATAGATAGACAAACAGACAAAAAGATATATAGACAGAGAGATAGATAGACAAACAGATGGATAGACAGATAGACAGATATATAGACAGAGAGATAGATAGACAAACAGATGGATAGACAAATAGATAGACAGACAGAGACAAACAGACAAAAAGATAGACAGACAGATAGATAGACAAACAAACAGACAAAAAGATAGATAGAGCGACAGATAAATAGACAAACAGACAGGCAGACAGATATATTACAAACAGAACCACAGACAGACAAATAAAGAGATTGAACAACAGAGTGACAGGTAGATTTTTGCATTTCTCCTGAACTTCTGTAACAAGAGTTTAATTCTCACATTATGGCAGCTTTGTTGTGAACAATCGTAATGTCACAAAAACAGAATAAAGGTCAATTTCAACAAAGAAAAAGAAATGCAGAAGGGAAACCGGTCTGTGTCTGATGTGCAGGAAGTTATGGTTACTCATCTCTTCCTGTTGGAAGAGACTCTGAGAGGGTCCCAGGGCTGACCTACTTCCTTCCTCCACGACAACAAACACACACCGTTTTCCACTAAAAATGCAGGACAACAACAGGACTGAACCAAAGACTTTGACTGAACTGAATGTTCACAGCTATGAATCGTCTCTAAAGTTTATATAACATGAAAAGGAGACTAAACTGACACAATTCATAGGCTACAACCTGATTTGAACCAAAAACAAATGTGCCCGGCCGGTCGGTGGCTGGCCACTTGCTGTTGGGCGTGTGTATGTGGAGGACGGTTGGCCAGCACGCAAGCCAACGACACAGGCATAGCTATGAAGCCGGGCTAAATATAACTTCACCATTGTTGTAGTCTGCCAGAGTGACTTTGCTTGGACACAGCACAAGGTATTTAGCATAGGTTACATTAGAGTAGCCTATATATCTATCTAATATGTTACAATATTTCAGGTATAAATAATTTGACTAACGTTACATTTATGAAATCAGGAAAGCTATTGGCAGATAATGAAATAATATGACTCTTGTTTTTCTGTTGACAGAACAACACCAAGTGATTCAGCTCCAAAAATGAAGCAATAGATTGTGTCATTTAGGGTGATAAGTTGGCTCTGAAAACAAATAGTCAATGTCCATCTTGAGGAAACGTTGTTGTGGTTTATTATCTTTGAAATAAGCCTTGAACTTTAACCAAGTAAATCACATTGAAAGAAATTTACAACGTTCAGTCAATGTTCCAGAGAGCTGTGTGTGTAAAAAGTAACACTACAGGAACAAACGTTGGACGAATGTAAGGCTGACGTTCAGAAAAGTGGAACGCCGAACCGCTGATTTAAAGTGACAGTACAGCGGAAAATGAAAATTGTATTATCACCCACATGTCGTTCAAAATCGTTCTTTCTTCAGCGGAACACAAACGGACACATAGGCAGAATAATAATGACAGCACCGGTCACATATTTCCATCACATTTCATTTAGTGTTTCATGGAAGAAAGAAAGTCAAACAGGTTTGAAACAACAGAACGTCACTTCTTTAAAGAATGGGGCAAAGAAAGAAACACCCACAACATCAGATGTCATACACCGATAAACAAAGAGTCACTCACCGTCAAAAATGACATTTATACATCATAAAAAACAAAATACTCTATGTATAAAACTCAAAATATAAGACACAGCCAGCCGTCACTCACCTTAAAGTACCCCCCCTCATAGTGCGTATTAGGGGGTCCAAAAATCGCGACTTCCCAGTTGTACAAATCCGACTCATCGACTAAAGTTATTTTAAAGCCTTCAACCGGCTCGTCCTGGAGACTTTTTAGCTCCAGCATTAAAGCCTTCTGGGAACTCGCAACATGGTGGTGTCTATGCTGAGCCATATCCCAAAAACAAACGACCAGGCATCCAAAACAACCCCGCAAACAAGTTTGATTCGTCCGTTTCACAAACGCGCCGCGCTAGGTCAGTGGCAGTACGCGCTGAAGTCGAGTGAACAAACGCGAGATAAATCACTCGATGACAATTTTCGCTTAGCGAGTACCAGCCCCAGCGGATTTGTTGTTCGCGTCGGGCATTTGAAGTCCCACGTTAAGCACCTGCCGTCGATATTAAACGTGTTAAACTAATCAAGCGTTCCGCTAGTAAACAAATATGCAATGCGGGGCAGCTTGCTCGAGGAGTCTCGCTCCCTCCCCCAGCAGCGTCACGCGAGACACGGTGCCACCAGCAGACCACGTCCCTCCTAATATCCTCCAGCAGCCGATGGAGGGCATGCCGAGTACGAGCAAAACACAACGCTTGTAACGCTACATTATCAATAGTATATGGTAAAACACGTTTTAAATACCCATACAAGGTAATTTGTCACAATGTAACTTCCATTAGACAGCCCCCTTTTAGAAATATAGCAAAAAATGAAACGCGTATCTATCTATATGCCCCATAGACCAAACTAATTTCCTTTTAGTGTTAATGTTTACACGTATAAGTATTCTAACGTAGTTCAGATGCTAAAAATTACAACTTGATAAAATAAAATAAAAATGGTTCACACACAGGGGCAAACATTTGGTCTACATGTACATGTATGAGTTTATTGGTACACACATTAAACTATAGCATCCTCCTCAAACTCTCAGGTGGACATCTCAAGAATGCAGCTCGCAAATTATTGGTCATTCTTTAAGCTCATTTATTCATCTTAAAACATTATATTACATCATACAGTCGGAAAATACATACGAAGGAGTTGGACAGTACCTTCAAACGAAGAGCAATGAATGAGAGTACATTGAATGAAAAGCCAAATCCAGCCATATCTGCACTATAACTTGCCAGAGGGAAAACCTTATTAGATTAGCTGGGCCACTTCACTTGAATCACATTTAACAGCTAAGTATCTATATGGACCCCCTAAATCCCCCCAAACCCCCTCTATTGAGATATATAATATAATATAATTTAATGCAAAATGCTTAAAAAAAACAAAAAACATTCCAAGACATCTTTTGAAGTGTATGTACTCATAACAAATAAAAATACATTTTACCATCAAAAAGTGTATCGTGGTGAAGCCAACTTTTACGTAAAAAACAAAACAAAACAAAACAAAAAATAATTGCGACAATCAAGGAATGATAAGGGGAATTTTCAATGCAAGTGTTCATGTATTAGTCAAAACCAGAAAAGTAGGCAAAAGTTTACATTCCTACCCATGCAGGTTATACATTTCAATGTGACTTTCATCCACGTCAGACGATTCAGTCTTTACATGGCCTGGAAACATCTAGAGCGGTTGTTTTTCCAGAAATGTTCTATTCAAGTCACTTCTTGTTGATGAACTGGAAAACACTTGCAAGGTACCCTCAGGATAACCAATCGTGAGAAGATTACCTCTACTTGCGTCCTTACAACCGAGCGCTACAGCGTGCTGGATCAGACAGTTAAACACAGGAATTACTTACAGCATGTGCCGGAATTAGTACAAGTTCATTAGTGTTGGGGGAAAAAAAAGGCCTTTAAGAGCATACATATATAAAAAGTGATTCATTGTAATCTGCAAATGTACAAGACGGCAGTTCTAAGAGCTGAAGAACACATGTAGAAGCATGAGTTTGGATGATGTCAAAGCCACAGAGGCGTTTGATGGATGTGATAGACAGGAAGTGCACAGGCTCCCTTATATTCATAAGTTTTAAAAACAAGTGATGACTTTGATATAATACTGACCAGAAACGGGACACTGTCAATGTGTTAAAAATGGCATGTTTGAGGTTAAAACATTTAGTTTAGTGCCATCAGTAATAATTTCAAAGCATACTTCAATTCGTAACAAAAGTACACGTACACATTCTTACAGTGGATGTCAATGGGGCAAGTGGATCGTTGTAGTTGCTCTATAAACTTCGAGCATGTACTCTTGGCCCATTGACTTCCATTGGGGAAGAGCATTTTTGGTGTTTTTTCCACAAACTGAAGCACAAATCAAAATGGTAAACAAGCAACTTGTATGGCAAGCCGTTTTAGCTTTTATTCATTTCCAGGATATGAATTGTTGATATCAAGAATTACATTTTTGATATCAAGAATTACATTTTTGATATCAACAATTAAATTCATGATATCAACAATTACATTTTTGATATCAAGAATTCAATTGTTCATATCAACAATTACATTTTTGATATCAAAAATTGAATTCTTGATATCAACAATTGTATTTTCACTAGTGAAATGTCGCCATAGGCTGCCATTCAAAACCAATTGTTGATATCAAGAATTGATTTCTTACTAGTTAAAATTCCAATTTCACATATCAGAAATACAATTACTAGTAAAAACCTTTATTTTTGATATCAAGAATTCAATTGTTACTAGTTGAAATGTCTATTCTTGATATCTACAATTGAATTTCTACTACTACCAATATTCATTTTTGATATCAATAATTCAATTTTTACTAGAGACAATTTTAATTTCTGAGATCATGAATGTGATTGTTACTAGTAAGAAAACCATTTTAGACATCTGAAACAATATTGATATCAGAAATACATCTTCAGATATCAAAAATGATAATTTTTACTAGTAACAATTGAATTGTTGATATCAATAATAGACATTTCAACTAGTAACAATTAAATTCTTGATATCAAAAATTATATTTCTACTAATAAAAAAATCAATTCTTGATATCAACAATTCATTTTGAATGGCAGCCTATGGTGACATTTCACTAGTGAAAATACAATTGCAGATATCAGCAATTAAATTGTTGATATCAAGAAATGAATTCTTGATATCAACAATTTCATTTTTGATATCAATTCTTGATATCAACAATTAAATTGTTGATATCAAAAAATGTAATTGTTAATATCAAAAAATTCATATCCTGGAAATGAATAAAAGCTAAAACGGCTTGCCATAAACTTTTTATGAGATTTCATCCTGATGGAGACCATTAACCGGAACACGGATTTCAGAGACATGAAATAGTTAATTTCGCCACTTTATGACCCGCCATTATCCTGAGCAAAGGTTTGTAAGTGTGCAGTTTTGTTAATCACATGCTATTGTAGTTCAGCTGTCAAAATTAGGACTCAAATAGTAGTGAGCCATCACATGATATCGTGGTCTATAACCTATGAGTCCTAACGAAACACACAGCTGCACTTGTGAGGCTTGGAGTGACATTAGTGCTCAGAGGCAGTTCGATGGAGTTGGAGATGTGGATCTTAACCCGGTCCTGCTAGCCTTTGAAAAGAGCAACATGAACCTGGTAGGGAACAGACATGCTGATGTTTAATGCAGAGAAAGGCGCTGATGAAGATCAGGACAGAAAACAAACTCGGCAAACAACACAATGCAAAACACTTTAAAAAAAAAGCACACAACTCAAGCATCGACAACGAAGAAATCCAAAGAAATCCGTTAAGACAATGGATAGGGCGTCAGAGAGACGAAGGATGCAGGATGAAGCGTGAGATCAGACGCACGTCGGAGGTCAGACACAGTCGAAGAGGGGAAACAAAGGCAAGAGACGGTCTTAAAAGAAGAACAGAGAACGACCGATTCCAATAAATACAAAGGTTCAGAGGAGGGACACGAGTCTCAGAGCAAGGGTATATGATTCTGAGCGTGTGGGGGTTCAGGGGGGGGGGGGGTTACTGGGCCGTGAGGGGGTCACAATCAGCATTTCGAGAAGGTCTGCTTGATTTCGTCCAGCACATTCCCCAGCAGCGATGGCTCGTCGCACTTGGCGTCGATGGAGACGGTCTGATCGGACTGGAAGAGAGAGAAACGAGAGGTTAGCATGAACAAAGGAGCAGATGCATCGAGCAAATTTAGCGCGGATCTTTAAAGTTTTAGTTCACTTTTAAAAAAAACTTTTGCTGATAATTTACTCACCCCCATGTCATCCAAGTTCACCTCGTCATTCTTTCTTCAGTCGAAAAGAAATTAAGGTTTTTGATGAAAAAATTCCAGGATTTTCTCCATATAATGGACTTCAATGGGAACCAAACGGTTAAAGGTCCAAATGAGAGTTTCAGTGCAAACTGCAAACTGTTCAAAGGGCTTTAAACGATTCCAGATGATGTATAAGGGTCTTATCAAGCGAAACGATCACTCATTTTAAAAAAAAAAAAAATAAAGTTTAAGTTTTATAAGCTCAAATGCTCACCTTGCTCTATTTTGTGTGACTCTCCTGTTTGAACTCATTTATCAAAATGAACGAATCTTTTTTCGTGTCATTTGGTTCATTCAACGAACAAAATGAACGAATTGACTCAGAAAAAGATTCGTTCTTTTTGATAAACGAGTTCGAACGGGAGAGTCACGAACGCGTATCACAGAACAGAGCAAGGTGACCATTTGAGCTTATAAAACTTAAAACTTTGTAATTTATTTATTTAATGAGCGATCGTTTCGCTTGATAAGACCCTTATTCATCATCTGGAATCGTTTAAAGCCCTTTGAACAGTTTGCAGTTTGCACTGAAACTGTCTTTTGGACCTTGAACCGTTTGGTTCCCAAGTCCATTATATGGAGAAAAATCCTGGAATGTTTTCATCAAAAACATTAATTTCTTTTCGACTGAAGAAAGAAAGACGTGGACATCTCGGATGACATGCGGGTGAGTAAATAATCAGCAAAAGTTTTTTTAAAAACTTTAAATACTAAAAGAATCGTTTGGTGGAATCAGAATCGTTACGATTCAATTCCCTGGGATCTGTATCCCTTGGACTCATCTGAGGCGCACTCACGGTTTTGACCAGCAAACAGACGTGGTGACCCTGGATCGACCTGCTGTACATGGAGGCGCACGAGTCAATCCTCTCCACAACTGTGAAAACAGGAAATAAGAGCACTAAAGATTGAAGGGTTTTCAGATTTGCGAACGCACTACAGGCTTCTTTGTGAAGTCAGCGCACCAGAGAAGTGATGGTGGAAGCAGATCCTGGCCAGCAGGTGGTGGAAGGGCATGTTGACCCCCTCTAGCCGTAGAGAGCTGCCCTTCAGGTCGCCCGACTCCAGCAGCTTAGCGTATGCGTCACTGACAGACACAACACACAAACGTTTGTTTAGCTACACCAAATCACTAAGGGCTGCGTTTCTCAAAAGCATTGTGAGCTATTCACTGTGTGCATCACTGTATTATATAAAGGGAGCACTCCATATGTGTATTTATAGTGCTGTGTTTAAGGTAAGGAGTTCCTCACCTGTAGCAGGGAGTGGTGA